TAAACTCACTTGGCTGATGTTGAAACATATCTATAAATATAAAACAGCTACATAGATGAAACTAACATGGCTGGTGAAACCTATCTATAAATATAAAACAGCTACATAGATTAAACTCACTTGGCTGATGTTGAAACATATCTATAAATATAAAACAGCTACATAGATTAAACTCACTTGGCTGATGTTGAAACATATCTATAAATATAAAACAACTAGTAGCATGTCATGCAGTATCATTGATATTTTAAAGTGTGTGTACTAAGTTGATTTTTTTGTGGAAGCAATCCTGTAGATATATATTTCTTAAGATCAGCATCATTATACTCCAACTGTTACATATTTCAGTAACTTGTTAATACTCTGTAAAGTCTCAGTAATACAAAGAAGATGTAAAAAGGTTAGATGTTATAACAAGGTGACCAATAGCATGTTAATGTCATCACATCAAAAACTATTATACAAGCCCTCAAAAAGTGAGTCACACTGCACATGAAGTATTTAAAAAACCTTACTGTAGGTTACCAATTTTGTTATATTGGGTAAAATACAATAATTTATTGGTTTGATTTCAACAGAATCAGTTCCGAGGAGAAGAATACAACATTTATTGTAAAATGTTGAGCCGACTTGACAGGGGCTATTCAGAACTGTTGGTAAGAAACTATTCATCTAAATCTAAAATCTTGTGTGACCAGTGAAATATTATAACATTTACATTAGTCACTTAGCTAAATTCAAATTCGTAACTAGTCAGAATTTAGAGATAATTTACTAAAGTCTTGTATGTTCAGTGATGTCACATAAGATTTTAATTGTAACTGTTGTTTGTTGACCTAGTTTTTGTAATATTTAATTGCTAAAGATGAGTTTTATTTTATCATCTTTACCTATTTTATTTATGTTCTATCTAACAATATATTACCTGATGCCATTTGAAATTGTTATTGTTTGTTGACTTAGTTTTTTTGTATTATTTAATTGCTAAAGACGAATTTTGTTTAACATCTCTAACTGTTGTATTCAGGTTCTATCCAACAAGCGATTAAGTGATTTAGATGCATTATTGGACTTCATACAAACAGCAACTAACCAACTCATTTGGATGAATGAGAAAGAAGAAATTGAAGTTTCCCGGAACTGGGGAGCCAAGAGCTTGAACATAGTTGAAATCGAACAACACCAGGAGGTAAGCGATTTTCTGTTGTTTCAGAATATTGTGTTGTTGTTCTCTTTATGCTCATAATCCATCTTACTATTCATTTTTATTTGATATTAGATTAACGTAATGGAATATTTTGGATACTTTAGGAGCAACTGTTTTACTCTCACTCAAATGTTTGTCAAGTATATTGTGTACTTATTTTAATCTTTCTGTAAACAGGGATGAATTGGTTTATTCTTTTATGCAACACAACTAACTTACATAGTGAATAATATTTTGAAGAAGTAGTTAGAAAGTGACTCAAAGTGTTTATTGATGCTATACTAATTACTTCTGTCTGTCCTTTTTAGAACTTTACTAATGAGATGGAGCTTCGAGAACCTCAAATCGAAAACATTAAAGAACAAGGCTATAATTTACAACGTCAGAATCATCCAGCTGTTGATTGTATTGAGGTATCTGCTAGTTTATGTGTCACACCATAAAGTAAAGATTCTTTGTCTTAGTTACTTCAAGTATTTTGTGTTATGTACGTGGTTATATATATATATGTATATATTCTGTCTTTTGTTACTGCTACCATATATATGACTGTTAATGTAAGTATTGTTTCTTGGTGGCTGTTGTTACTGCTACCATATATATGACTGTTAATGTAAGTATTGTGTCTTGGTGGCTGTTGTTACTGCTACCATATATATGACTGTTAATGTAAGTATTGTGTCTTGGTGGCTGTTGTTACTGCTACCATATATATGACTGTTAATGTAAGTATTGTGTCTTGGTGGCTGTTGTTACTGCTACCATATATATGACTGTTAATGTAAGTATTGTGTCTTGGTGGCTGTTGTTATGGAGGTATATGCTGATCTCTAATTGTGGTTCTGAAGTTGAAATTTTGATTTTATACATCTCACATTTTGGTAGTTTAGTTTTCTTTAACAGGAAATAATTTTTTTGTTTAAAGTTGGATTTAACACTTTTCCTAGGCTTATATTGCTGCATTGCAGACACAGTGGATGTGGTTAAAGAACTTAAATCGTTGTTTGAACACCCATTTGAGACATGCGTCAAGCTACCACCAGGTGAGTTATACAAACTTTCACAAGCTTGTTGTAGTGTTAAAGTTTGATGGTGTGTGAAATGCTGAGTGAGTTAATGACATAACACCATATGTTAGCAATGTAGCTACATTAATAGTAATCATACAGTTGTCAGCAGATTAACTTATGAGTAAGTTAATGAAATAACACTGTATGTTAGCAATGTAGCTTCATTAATAGTAATCATACAGTTGTCTGCAGATTAACTTATGAGTAAGTTAATGAAATAACACTGTATGTTAGCAATGTAGCTTCATTAATAGTAATCATACAGTTGTCTGCAGATTAACTTATGAGTAAGTTAATGACATCATACTGTTGTGGGATACAACTGTGTCTGTGGGACAAATAGTACTTATAGCAATCATTAGCTTTAAGTAGAAGACCTTACTTTGATCATCAGTTATAAAGAGTCTGACATTTATAGATTAACCACATGTTCCATTAATAGTGGTCATTACATGTAAATTATACATGTTCCATTAATGGTGGTCATTAGGTGTAAATTATACATGTTCCAATAATAGTGGTCATTAGGTGTAAATTATACATGTTAAGATTAACCACATGTTCCATTAACAGTGGTCATTAGGTGTAAATTATACATGTTAATTAACAGTGGTGATTAGGTGTAAATTATACATGTTAAGATTAACCACATTATCCAAACAGTGGTCATTAGGTGTAAATTATACATGTTAATTAACGTGGTCATTAGGTGTAAATTATACATGTTAATTAACGTGGTCATTAGGTATAAAGTATACATGTTAATTAACAGTGGTCATTAGGTGTAAATTATACATGTTAAGATTAACCACATGTTCCATTACCAGTGGTCATTAGGTGTAAATTATACATGTTAAGATTAACCACATGTTCCATTACCAGTGGTCATTAGGTGTAAATTATACATGTTAAGATTAACCACATGTTCCATTACCAGTGGTCATTAGGTGTAAATTATACATGTTAAGATTAACCACATGTTCCATTACCAGTGGTCATTAGGTGTAAATTATACATGTTAAGATTAACATGTTCCACCACTGTTAATTAACATGTATACTTTATACCTAATGACCACTGTTAATTAACATGTATACTTTACACCTAATGACCACTGTTTGGAACATGTGGTTAATCTTATCATGTATAATTTACACCTAATGACCACTGTTAATTAACATGTATACTTTATACCTAATGACCACGTTAATTAACATGTATAATTACACCTAATCACCACTGTTAATTAACATGTATAATTTACACCTAATCACCACTGTTCATTAGGTGTAAATTATACATGTTAAGATTATCCACATGTTCCAAACAGTGGTCATTAGGTGTTAAGTATACATGTTAATTAACAGTGGTCATTCGGTGTAAATTTTACATGTTAATTAACAATGGTCATTGGATGTAAATTATATATATGTTAATTAACAGTGGTGATTAGGTGTAAGTTATACATGTTAACAAGGTATATTTTTTAAGTTAGTCCTTTGTTTCCCCAGTTTTTTACAGAGGCTAGAGAATGTGAGAAGTGGCTGAACCGTGTGGAGGAGCGTCTGAACAGTACTTTCAGTCGTCAACATTTCTCAATTGATGAAGGCGATCGGCTGCTGAGGGATATGCTGGAATTGATGAATGACTTGAATCACTATGGCCATATAGTCCATTCTTTGGGTGACCGCAGTAAAGAGATTATGCCACTTAAACAGAGACGCCAACAACTTAGTCGTCCACTGCGAGTTACATCCATTTGTTCATACAAACAGATGAACGTACGTAATGTTCTGTTGTATTTGACAAAGACAT